CACAGCACAATGTGGCAGAACTAAAGTTAGATAATTAAATATGGTATTTTAAATGGTGAGATATTCAAATGGTATTTGCAGTAAACATAGTTTCTGAGAAGAACTTACTTTTAAATATATTCTAATCTCAATCAACTTACCGGAACCTTTTCAAATCTCAAAAACTATAATAGAAAACTGAAACTAATACATAATATTTGTATTATATTAATTGGGCTCAGAAAGTTTTGTAATATTCTGCTCACTTCAAAAACAACCCCGAATTCCATACTTTTACAAAACTATATGTGTTTGTGTATTATATATATAAAAGTACAACTTTAAGCAAAAAATTGAGATATACGTTAATTAATTTTTAAGTTATTTTAAGTTATTTTTAAGTTATTATTATTATATTTTATGAAGTGTTAGAGAAATTGAGTTTTAGTATAATCCTTTTTGTAATAAAAACTCACTTAGATATTCCCTCTGAAATTTTTTTACTCTTTACTATAATATCTTTGAACAAATAAATTATATGTTATTGCATTTTTAGTAATTTCTTCTGATATCGACATTCTTTTTCATCCGGTTTAAGCCTGCTTACCTCCAAATTTTCTCAACATTATATAGAGCATTTCGAATACTAATAAGAGCCACTGTTTTTAAGCTGTTTTAACCGGCTTAGTAAGTATGTTCATTCGAATTTGCCATTTCCTAGACTCTAACATGAGCTCCGATTTTGTGCTTTTCCTGCAGGTATATAATTATTCAGATAAACAGAATTGACGAATAGGTGATCTACTGAGAATTCATCGGAGCAGCGATCTTAAACCTAACCTAATCTGTTAACTGGAAAAAATTTTAAATACAACAATAAGATAATAATAGAGTTTTTTAGGAAAAAAATATTAAAATATTTTTTTAAAATATTTTGTTGAGTTGAGTCTGTTAAGTTGATCTTTAACCTAACCAAACCCCTTAACTTGTCAAAACTAAAAACTAACTATGATGAATCAAAAATGTTGTTGCAATTCACTACTGTTCAAAAAATCTCTCTATTAAAAACTATAGTTTATATTAAGAGAATAGTTTCTTTCGTCATAACTGTTGCTAAAAATCGATTGAAAATGGACAAGATATTAGAAAGGTTGATGAAGCATATATATCGCTAGATTTATATATTATTATTGAAAGCTATTACATGAATATAACTAATATTGAAATTCAAAAGATAGTTTTGAAACACTTTACTTCTCAAATAATGGTACGCCTTTCCTTGACAATACTAGTTTCACATCGTATTAGACGAATGTTGGTTTTGCAATGTCATTTGCAATGTAGTTAATAGTTAATAACTATTGTTGACTTTTGCTGAGAAGCACCCTGTATAAAAACCAAATATGCATATAATGAAAAGTAACACCTGCCCGAAAGTAATTTGTACACATAAATCATGAAATAAGCAAAACTACACAAATAAATTCTAATGGCAAGTCAGCTTTGTATCAGTACAAAAGCTGTGATATATCTCAATGTGATTTCTCGGTTATTGTAGATATTGGTGTGGTATTGTTATGTGCGATAACTGCAAAACAAAGCAAATCATTTCAATTTACAAAACATACAAAAATAATCTCGTATTTAAGTTTTGTGAATTGAACAATTTAAGTGAAAATACACAAACAGGACTTTCATCCTGCAAGGCAAATTAGTCTGTTAATAAAACCAAATAAATATTTTACAAAGCAATTTACAATATTTACATATGAATTTTTAAGCATTTAATCAAAACTTTTTTATGTAAATATTATTTATTAATTTTTTTGTTTTTCTCTTTACAGGTAAGTGGAGAGCAAAAAGTATTGTAAGCTTAAAAGGCACATGGAAGGTAGTGCGTGAAAAAACGTGAGCTGAAAAAATTCTGTTAATTGAACTAACAGATTTCGTAAAAAATTTAATTTTTTATAAAAAGTTTTAAAATAATTATTTTGTTAAAATTTAAAAAGACAGCCAATTAATGCAAAAAAAAATTTTTTTTTTTTGTGGTTTGGTAAATTATAAAATGCTGCTTTTAAATTTAAAAGAAATGTGTGAAAAGTGAAATTGTAAAAGAGGGGTGTAGGATTTTCTGTACCTTAAATACAAGTGGTTATGGCTTAATGTTCAGTTCGGTAAAGGTGATTGCACACAGCATCGCATGATTATCGGATAATGGATATACATAACATTCCCCATGGATACATTAATGTTTGTTGTGGTTACTTATCTTATCTAACTCTAGTGATTTTTATTAGCAGTTAGTTTGCTCCTTAATGTTATGTTTTTTAATGAGAACTTTGGCCATGACATGATTACTACTTATGACAGATATATGTACGCCGATATGCAATAATATCAAATTAAGTATAGCTTTATTGGCATATCAAATATAGTCATTCGTATTTGTCAGTATTTAAGATAAAATCATGAAGATGTGCGGTTGAAAGGTTATCCGATCTAACGAAAGGTCTAAACAAACCCCAAATTTATGTATAAATTTTTTTTTTTGTTTCCCAAAAAAAAAAATTAATTTTTTATTGTGACTTTTTAGTAATATATGAATGTGTCAATGCTTTTTTTAGTATTTATATTTTATTTTTCAAGAGTTCATTTACTGGAAACACACTAAACTTCAACTCGATTTTACTAGTAGCGAATATAAATCCGGAAAAAGAACCAGAAATGAAGTTGTTAATGGGAATCAAGAAACGGCAGACCGAAATCTCTATCTAAAAATTCATATATTTCAGGCGTGTGAACGAAGGCATAAAAATTTGATTTATTTCCTGACCGGGGTTGCGGATATAATGTATATAAATGCTCATATTACTTTCATGAATAAATTTTTGCTTCACAATCTTAACTCCTAAAAAACAAAACATTTCAATAAGGTGAGGTTAGGTTCGGAAGGCGCGTGCTTACCGTTGTCAGCACTTCCACTCGAAAGCATATATTGCCCATTGTGATGCCCTCAAAAATTTAGATGGGAGAGGCGAATCGCTAACCTTTGTAATCCTTGTTAAACCATTTGGTTTTCCAAA